ATGGTTTACTTTAGTCTATTATAAATGGTCTTAACTAATAATAATTAATTATAATATTCAAAATAAATAATTCATAAATATTGTTAATGGAATGTCATGGGCAAGTCTTGCCCTTTAACGCCCTCTTGTGGAATACACAAAGTTTCGGCTAAGTATTTTTTTTGGTAACACTTTACAATAAGGTTCCATTAGTTAATGTTGAACAAACAATGAACAATACATTTTACATGATCAAACGATGAACAATACATTTATTACAGTATTTATTCATCTTTGTTTAGTTCATGTTAATTCACAGCACATTAACTAATGTTAACAAGAACAACTTTTGATTTTAATAATGCATTAGTAAATGTTGAAATTAACATTAGCTAAGATTAATAAATGCTGTAGAAGTACTGTTCATGCTTAGCTCATGTATTATTGTAAAGTGATACCTTTTTTTATGTTTTTGAACTAAGTCTCTTCTGCTCACCAAGACTTCATTTTAACAAAAATACAAAAAAACAGTAATATTGTGAAATATTATTACAATGTAAAATAGCTGTTTTTTATTTTAATCAATTTTAAAAATGTCATTTATTCCTGTGATGGAAAAGCTGAATATTCAGCAGCCATTACTCCAGTCTTCAGTCACCCAGCGATTCTTCAGAAATCATTTTAAATATGCTAATTTGCTTCACAAGAAACATTTAATATTGTTGTCAATGTTAAAAACAATTGTGTTTTGAGGATTCTTTGATGAAAAGAATGACCCAAACTTATGAACAGTAGTATAAATAACTCACCAGTCAAACCCAGCTGCAAATGACGACTCAATGGCTGGAGCTATAAATTTGGCTGAGGTCATAATGTATTTTTCTGCTAGTGCTTTCCTAGAAGGAAAAACAAAACAAAAATACTGAAAAAACGTTCTAAGAATAATACATGCAAAGCTGAAGTATTATAGATCCAACAGAATGTTTAATAATACCTCTCCCTTTCCATTTGGTGAAGCTTATCGTTCTTTATAGCCTCAATCACCATGTTTGCATGAGGGTCATCCTAAAATTAAAAAATAAATAAAATAATAAATAAGACAGAATTCAGTTCAAATATATGACTAACAAGGATTTAAACTATACACTCACATTTGGAGGAATATACTTGTCATCATCATCAATACCGAGAGGTACACAAATGAGTTTCTGAAAAGCTTTTTTCATCCTCTCACGGTCTCCAATGGCATAGTAACATAGGATGAGGTTGAAGCCTGTCTTAATGTTGGGGCTCTCACTCATGATGTACTCAAAGGATGTGATGGCATCGGAGTACTGGCCCATATGTATGAACACAACTCCAATGTTCTGCATGATCTTGATCCTATATAGTACGATAAATGATACATGTTGAAAAACACATCAAATTGCCCAAGACCTGCATAAATTGATCGGTGCAAAACAGCTCACACAACAGATGCAACTACAAGTACTGACCTCATTGCATTGTGGGCATTTGAGATCTGATCCAAAGCCATGCGGTAAAATTTGATTGCCTTTGTGTAGTTCTTTTGCTTAAAATAGATATTTGCCATGTTCACTTTCAATCGTCCTATAGTAGGGTAAGCAGTTACAGAAAATCTGATATTAGAAACGCACTTACTGTATATCAAAGAGGAGTGAATATGAGAATATGAGTTTAAAACAAATTTGAAATTTGCTTACCGGCATTACTGAACATTTTGTTCTTCACAATGACTTGGTAAGTGTTCAAGGCCTCAGTGTACATGTCATTATTGGCATATTGGTTTGCTAAATTAAACAACACCTGAACAAAGCATAAAAGAGTCATGTGAACTTTCAGTTTTCAGTCAAGACATGTATTTTTATATGGAGCAATGAACTTACGGAGTAGGTCAGATCCAGATTGATGTGGTCTGCAGTGCCTGTTTGTTCTCTCTGTCTCACCAAAGCCCTTTCCTTCCTGCCAGCCTCCTTGGCTTTCTCTAAAGACTGTAAAAAAAAAAAAAAAAGATAATTCATCAGATAAATGTCAATTCTATAAAATCACTTAAAGCAGTTATAAAGCTATACCTACCAGCTGAAGATCCCCACGAGCATGAGCGAGACAGCTCTCCTCTATCAAATCATTCACCTTCTTTTCGAGTATCTTTATCTTCTCCTCTGGACTGAACGAGAAAACTATTAGACCAAAAATGTGTACATCTCCGAGTAAAACTAAAGATGTCAAGTGTTATCTAGTAAACAAAACTTGTCAATGGCTTCTCAAGCACTATGAAAGCATAGGGATGCATACGTGTCTTCATTCCTTGTTTCTAATGGAGGGGCCGGTCCTTTTGATTGTCCCAGTGGATCAAACACTGAGCCTGGAAATTCAAACAATTAAAATGAAAGAACCTGACATATTTTTCACCAACTCAGAAGTTAAAATGTATGAATCAAATATCATTATGAGACAGTAAGTATATTTCAAGCATAATGTGCCTGGACAGCACATGTGGAAATGGGTTTCATGTGTGAAAGTACCTCTAGCTATAGATGATGAATATCCTGCTGCTCGCACTGCAGTCATGGGACGAGCCGCACCATCCTGTACAACACACAAACACAGAAAGATTCATAAAATCTCATTGCATATGACATAAAGGGCAAATAAACAAGAGATTTTCCCCACCTGAACAGCTCCAGTCATAGGCCTGGTTTCTGTTTTTCCCAGTTATGATGATGTCAGCATTTAATGACGCATGGTCCTGGTATGTGCTGTATTTGCACTGCTGTATTGGCGATATTATAATATACCATTATTTATCGTTATAGTATTTATTTTAGCGGTTTGTATGCTTGTGATTTGTTGTCTATTGTTTTTTTTTTCTATAATCTCCACATTCTTAAAGTCAACATTCACCATTCACTTCACTCACTCATTTCGCATGTACGTCTCAATGTGAAAGAAAATATCTGTCGTTACTTCAGTTTCATTGCAACTCTGACTACTAAAAAGTTTTTCTGCTAAATAATCAAAGAGGCACGAGTGAATATTCCTGTTTGTTTTATCAGCATTGGGAAGTTAAGGTCCTTTTATAACTATTCAGGTCATATTTTTTTCAGCACATTCCACTGTCATTCATTTTTTCCGCTCTTGAATTTCCTTGTTCCAATGACCTTAAACAGTCCATTCATGCTCAAAAACCCTCCAATGTGGCTGAATTAAAACCATTCTGCAAAGAAGAGTGGGCCAAAATTCCTGTGAAAGACTCATTGCCATTTTTCACAAACACTTGATTGCAGTTGTTGCTGCAAAGCGTGGCACAACCAGTTATTAGATTTAGGGGGCAATTACTTTTTCACGTAGGGTCAGGCAGGTTTGGACTGCTTTTTTGCCTTAATAAATGAAATCATAATTTAAAAACTGCAGTTTGTATTTAATCAGGTTATCTGTGTGTAATATAAAATTAGTTTGATGATCTGAATCTTTTAAGTGTGACAAATATGCAAACAATAAAAAAAAAACAGGAAGGGGGCAAAAAACTTTTTCACACCACTGTACATTTCATACAGTCCCTTTGCTATATTGTTGACCATCAACTGCTCTTGTCCTCTGTGTTTTCTGTGAATAGGAGTGTGTATTTGAGGACCTGGAAGCAAAGCAGACTGTCTTCCATGAGGTGGAGAATCTTGTCACAGAAAGTGTGATTCTCAGCAGCTCCACTTCCTGCCTGATGCCAAGCAACGTGTTCTCTTGTGTCCAGAACCGAACTCGGTGCATCATTTCTCATCCGGTTAGTTATAATTATAGTCCGTGAGAGATTATATTATATATACACTGTAGGGGAACACAAGTTTGAGGAGACACTGAAAAGGTGAGACTCAAATTAAATTTTTAGGTATTTGACATTTTTTTGAAGAAATTATTATGCAAAAAGAAATAATGAAAATACATTTTTAACTCTGATTTAAAATAAAAAAGATTAATCCATTTCATATGCGTATACATCAGTCCAGTTTTTGTTTGTTCCGGTCCCACTAGCACTAGTCCTCAAAAGTGAAGCCATCGCGTTTCGATCGCCCTCAGATGGCTGGTCCCAGTATAGGTCATAAACCCCGCCCTCTCCATGTAATCTAATGGGACGTGAGACAAACTAAATAATTAAATTTCACTTGAAATATTTTGTTTTCAAACATGGTTTATGTCATTTGATGTTGATTTTATTTAGTGAACTGAGGCGCCAGCGGACATTTTCGAGATCTTCAGGAAGAGATTGGAGTTGTATTTACATTATTTTAACACAAGCCTCTTATACGAAAAATCAGCAGACAAAAATTGGACCAGTCAGGCTAATTTAAAAAAGGGTCATGGGCGTGTGTTTGTGATTGACTCTGCGGGAGTGTGAGCGGGACGCGGCTCCACTTCGCTCTCTACTGTGCAGACTCTGGTCCTAAATCAGTGCAATATGGCCGCGCCCTATTGGGACAAAGGCCCCCGGCTTCACTTTTCTTCAATGGAAGTGAATGAAGGTGCGTCGTCCGTCTTTTTTACAGTCTATGGTTCCGGTGCATACATTTTGGCTTTGGTTTGAACCTGCAACATCTTCCATTCAAAGCAAAACACATCTAGACCAATATGTCTTATTATTGGTCTAGATGTGGTATTGGTTAAGATCTTATTAAGGGCTAAACCTAAAATCCCCCTAAATGTAAACTTCTGCAGTTACCCCTAATAACAATTGTTATTTTCAGGTGTTCTTACAACATTCATGTTTTGGTTTTGGTTTTACGGTTTATATTTATTTAATGAAAGCATTATTTACATGGACATGTCAGGTTTTTCTTATCAGCCCTGATTTAGCAGCCTGTAGTGAAGAATGGAGATAATTGTTTTAGGCCAAGAGGGCTTTACTGGACTTTGAATCCTTCCATGCTTAACGGAAATTCTACTCTGATCTCATGAGCAGAAAGGTCTTGCTAGTCGTGTTGTCCTTCAGAGCAGTGTGAGGCAAATAGTTCACCTTCACCTGCATTTAGTGAATGTTTAATCATGAATGCCAAGCATTTGTGGTCAGACATTTAGTCAGAGAGACCTTCATAGTGGGAAAGAAGTTCAATACAAGGCCATTATCTCTAGCTCTAGTAAACACATAGTGCTTTGTCTGTGTTCAGGGGCAGGTAAACTAGTGTAATTTCCTTCTTGTTTTGAACCTCACAGGTAAACCCGCCCTACTATGTGCGTCTGGTGGAGCTGGTGCCACACCCCGAAACACTGCCTGCTGTAATGGATGTTGCTTACTCACTGATGACGGAAGTCGGACAGGCACCTGTGCGACTCAGCAAGGAGATTGATGGTTTTGCATTGAACCGTGTTCAATATGCCATCATAGCCGAGTCCTGGAGGTTGGTTCAGGTTGGTTGAGCCATGGAACTAAACCACATATCAGTTAGAGTCATGGTTATACTGCATAATGTTTTGACTACCTTCCCATTCTTTCATGTCAAATCTCTACTGTGCTGAATAATATACGCAAAAAGGCAAGATAGAAAGATGCGTGACAATCATGTGGATTGTTGAAAGAACCGTGTTCAAAGCCATTAATAAAATAATTATATAAACAGTAGATAATATAAACAATAGTAGACTGTTTTATTATACGTTATATGTACACTACCATTCAAATGTTTGAGGTCAGTAAGAATGTTTTTTTTATTCTTTTGAAAGAAATGTATACTTTTGTTCAGCAGGATACATTAAATTGCTCAAAAGTGACCGGAAAGACTTATATTATTACAAAAATTTACTGTTTCAAATAAATGCTGTTCTTTTGAACTGTTTATCCATCAAATAATCCTGAAAAAAGTATTACGGTTTCCACAAAAAAGTATATATATACAATTTTTTTGTATATATATACTGTGCCAACCCACAATTTTTAAATGGTAGTGTATACTAAAATAGTTGTGTCAGTTATGTTTTGTCAGTTCAATTTAAAAATAAAATAGTTTGAAACACAATTTTCTTTATCTAATGTAGCTGTTTATTCTTTTTAATTTTTTTTCCATACTATGGAAGTCAATGGGGACCAGCACCTGTCTGGTGAGAAAATTATGACAGAATTTTAATTTTTTTAATGTCTCTGTTACACTCTGTTTTTAGAAAGAAAGGAAAATGAAATTAGAGGAAGGAAGGAATGAACAGAGACTATTGTATTTGTTCAAATGGTAAGCATTGCAACATTCGTAGTCTTATCGCACTATGTTTACAAAAGGGGGAAAACCATCTCTTTTCTTTGTTTCTCTTGAGAAACTTTTAGAACAGCCAGCTTATCTTTCCTCATACTGGTGGTTTTGTCCTGGTTAGACAGTACACCTGTATTACAGTGTATCAAATGAACATTGGGTAGAGTTAGACGATCCACTTTAAAAACCAAACCCTTCTCGGCACTGCCCACAAGCATGAACAAAAAGCAGAGTCAAGAAAGCACTTCCACAAACAAAGGACACCTCACTTTGAACTTATTTTTAGAGTGACTGTTCATTATTCTGTCAAGTAATTGACATTTAAAGACGAAACACAAAATTGTGTGTTCTGTCCAGGGCGTATTATGGAGGCATCATCACAAAACTGTTTTTATTAATATGCATAATGGCAAAGTTCATAGGTCAGAACCCTTAATCCTAACTGTAGTTGTAGCCAGTCGTACATAATAATGTCATTGTTACCCATCATTTTGAAATTGTGGTTTTTGTTGCAATATGGCATTGTGTCTTTGTATTTGGTCCCTGGAGAGCTTTGTATGGGTCGGGGTAGAGTACACTTCACAACAGCAGTTACTGCTCTGACAGAAACTCAAAAACTAGCCACCATAATACACTACATGTCCAAATTAATATGGACACCACACTCATGTGCTTGTGAGCATTTAATAAAAAAATAAAATAAAAGTTTATATAAAACATTTATAGTTTATATAAAACATTTAATAGTTAATAGCCCTCTCTAACAGCTTCTGGGAAGGTTTTCCACTAGCTGCTCTCATTCAGGCACAAACGTGAGTGAGGTCAGGTACTGGTGTTGGGTGATGGGGGCTGGTTTGCTATTGGCATATCAAATAATCCTAAAGCATGTCCAAAACTTAAATAACTGCATGCTTAATTGTTTCCACTGTTAGTAATGGGTGAAGCTGAAATAGCCTAATCCGTTAATTAGGAGGGGGTGTCTACATACTTCTGTCCTACATAAATAACAGATAAACCAAACCACTTATGTATAAAACAATTATCTCTTTGTGAATAATTGCATGGATTCATTATTATCATTATCACTTAATATCATTATTTACTCACCCTTACAGTATGTTGTTTCAAACCTGCATGATTTCTTCTGTGGAACAAAAAAGAAGATATTTAGCAGAATGTTCATACTACACTTTTTCATATAATAACTGAGCAGAAAAAAAACAAATGGGTAACTTATATGGCAGCACTGAAAATGATATGCTATTCTTACTTGACCTTTTTAACTAACTTGATGGTTCTACTCCTTTCAGAGATTTATAACCAATGAACTGAGGCATAATTAAAGGAAATCTTATGAGGCTGAATTAGTTGTAAATATAATTTTTAATGTATATATACCAATTGATCTTATTCATCATGCCACCATTTAGGAAGAGTGGGATGTTGTTGTTTTATTTTTATATATATATATATATATATATATATATATATATAAAGATTTTTCTCTTTATTAGCTGTTACACTAAATAAGTGTTTTTCCTTATAACCGTTTTTTTTCTTTCCTCATTCTTCATTTCATCCTCAGTAGTGTTATTGTGCAATCATTGATGATGAGGTAATTCAGTAATTTAATTGTCTGGAATATCAGTATGATTTACAGGTTGATTTTTCACGTTTTCTATGCAGTTTGTGTGTGTTAGGAATTTAATTTCTTAACAAGCATTTCTTATGAGAGATCTTGACTTAATTTTCCAAGTCTTGTAATTTCCTCACAGTCAGATGGAAAAGTTAAATTTCTAAATTAAACATGCACCATTTCAGGCACAAATCCACATCCTGTTTTGGGTCAACTTCTAAATGACAGAAATACCTCTCCTCCTTTTTAGTTGTAGGCAAATACTTTTCAAGAATTTCAAAAGAATCTGCTGTCTGAGCTGTTAAAAGTTTGTCATATGGAGCTTTAAAAGAAGCCATGTTGATAAACCAGCACGCAAACTGATTAATTCGTATAGTTTTTTGTTTAGATAACTAAAAGAAGTAATTACATAAGCTGGTTTTACATAAGTTAAATATTGTTCAAAGACCCTTTGTGGCCACCTGGGACTGTTACTTGTTAAATGTTGCATCACGTTTGTTCAATTTAAGTCTTATTTCGCATTATATTATTTGAGTTTATTAATGCTTCACTGTGTTGAATAATAAGATGTGTGAGCTGTTCATGTTGTTGTCATGGGCCCAAATACCTAACTGTTACATCTAAGTCTAAAACTATGCCCACAGACATTTGGATATTGTTTACTAGCTAAAAATCCAGTTTAATCTGATGTTCATAATACCATCAATGCTTAAAGGGATAGTTCACCCAAAAATGAAAATTCCATCATCAAACAGTTGCTGGTCCCCTCTGACGTCTATAGCGTGGGAAAAAATACTTTGGAAGTCAGTGGGGAGCATCAACCGTTTGTGTTCAGCAGAAGAAAGAAACTCGTACAGGTTTGTCACAAAATATATATATTTTTTTTTTTTTTTTTTTTTTTTTTTTTATGAATTAAAATAGATCAAAACTGTTTCTGAAAATATGTTGTTATTAGAGTCGTGAAAAATATCAGACCTTTTATGGTCTACTGTGTTGTAGAAATGCAAAACCACATTTTTATTGTTTTGTCTGTCCAGGTATGGAAGACTATCTCCAGCGCTACAGTGAGGGCATGAAGAGGGTTCTTAGTACTTTTGGGCCTGTTCCTGACTTTTCTGGAGAGCCAGCAGCTAGAATTGTTAAAGTAAGCAATATCAATATTATCAATAATTAGTGGAAAATCTCTTGAAACGGTTGCTTTAGAAATCTTAAATTTGACAGATTTCCCAAATAACCATAATTGTTTTGTTGTTGTTGTTTTTAAATAATTTTTGTAATCATTATAAAATGAAAGATTTCATCATGTACTTTAGGAGATCTGTGAGCTGATCCCTGCTGAACAAGAGCACCTCACAGTCCGGAGAGAGAGAAGAGATCAACTGCTGATGGAACTAGCTAAGCTGAAGAAATGAGGCTAGTCCATATCTGAATGCAATTGGTTATGGATCATCTGAGCCATTGTTGTCCTAAGTTAAATATTTCCCTTCCAGGCAACAGAATATGACTGATTATAGAAGAAAATTACTGAAACAAAAGTTAACCTCAGAAATGGCTTTAGGGTTCATTTAATTATAAATTTAATTTTTATAATGCATTACCAGTATTTTTAAGTGTAAGATTTGTGACAAATACTTTGGCTATAGCACTTTCTTGCTCATGATAAATGTAATGTGAAATTCACAATTAAAGAGAAAATGAAAACAATCTCCAAGTGGAAAGCCATTTTCTTGATCCACCCCAATGAGTGTTTGACTCAGCATAAGAAAATTCTGATGTTTCCTTTTGGAAAATACACGCAATTAAAAATGAATGGTATTTTCACTTTTAACTTCCTCGTGGGACATTTCTGAATTAATCTCATACCTAAGCTGAGCCCAACAAGTATTTGGACACTTAACTTGAGATGTATGAATGCCATAACATGTCAAACCAAGTGTCAGATGCAAATAAATAATGCTTTTCTCAGAAGAACTAACAATGACTAAACTGACTGGCGTAAAGGTGATTTTTAGTCTATGATGTCAATTCACACAGGTGTCCTAGCAGAGTAAACACTGGTGTAGTAAATTAATGTTTTTGTCTCGTCGCTCCGGCCGGGACAAGGCATCACAATATGGTAAGGGACGTAACATTTCCGTGTTAGCAGATCGGGGCGTTTTTAGACCATGTTTCCTGTATTTAGGTAGGTTTAGGGGTGGGGTTAGGTAAGGGGGATCATTTTGATTGCATGATTGAGAAACACCCTGCAGTTTGAAAACACCCACAAATTCAGAAACGCCCAGTTTTGCTCTGCAGAGACCTCAGTCTCCATGCTTGAGGTATTCGGCCAATCACAACGCACTGGATAGCTGGCCAATCAGAGCACACCTCGCTTTTCAGACCGATGAGCTTTGTAAAAATCGACGCGTTTCAGAAAGGCGGGGCGTAGAGGAGAAACAATAATGTACAGTGTGTGGAAAACAAGCAGCAACCTCCCGCTCTCTCTAGTGAAGCCAACAAGGAAGTAAACTGTAATTCATCAACTGGCCGCTAGAGGCTGGCTGCAAAAGGGAGTCAATCCCATAGACTCCCCATGTTAAAATTGGTCTATATAGCTAATTTTGCCCTTCATGACAACTGTGAGGGGGTGAATTTTTTTTATAACTCATCCGTTTAAATTATATTAAGCCTTAAGGTTCTGCACAATTAAGGGCGTGGTCACTTGAGTGACAGGTGGATTGCCGCTGCTGTCACCACCGTCGAGCTAGGTGGGCGTGGTTTCAACCTCCCGCCTCTGCCCATTTTCGATTATCTGGGAGTGACGTGCTGCCAAGGTGGCGACGGCCCGCTCCGCCCACTTTGAGCTTCAAAAAACGCTCCTTGGAAATCGCTCCGGTTACTATCGTAACCACGGTTCCCTGAGAGCGGGAACGAGACATCACGGAGATATTTCTCCGTTATGGGAACTCCTTCCCTTCCAACCTTTCCTGAAGTCCTATTGGCTCCCG